CATACAAAGCCGTCCCTAGTGTATATCACTATTGAAGAATAATAATTTATGATTATGTGATCGCAACTTATAGATAAATTAAATTTCTTAAATTCTTGTACCATCATTATAAAGTTTAACTAGCTAGAAAGTGAAAATTTTCCTAATTTTAATTTTTGTTGGAAAAAGTTCCTTGGTATGTTAAAATTTAATTTTCATAGTAAAGACATACCATGTCGACTTTGATACCATATTAATCACATTATGGCCAAAATAATTTTGTCATTTTAACGAGATCTCACAGATATGGTGAATGTTATAAAATAACAAAAACTACACGATATCAACTAAGTAGTTTTCGTTTAACCCTAAGGCTATATTTCAACAAAGAAAGTCCAATATTTCGTACTTCAAATTTCATAGTCTTGCTTTCCCATTCTTTATCTTCACACACTTCTACAACAAAGATCAACAATAATCATGGAGAGAGAACAGGAAGAAATCCAATTTTTAGGCCTTTTCGATATCTACATCGAATCCTACAAAATAATTTACAGATGGAAAAAAATCTTCGCCCAAATCACCCTATCTTTGATCCTTCCTCTCTCCTTCATCTTCTTAACCCATGAAGAAGTATCAGAAATTCTCTACTGGAGAATCAGGCGCACAGAACACCAGTTACACTGGACTAAAACCGGTACGCCGAAGTACGAGAGACTTTCAGATCTTGCATCATCAGAATGGGCTAACTATATGATCTTCAGGGCTGTTTATTTCACCTTCCTCCTTATCTTCTCCCTCCTGTGCACTTCTGCTGTTGTCTATATAGTTGCATGCATTTACACAGCAAGAGAAATCACTTTCAAGAAAGTTATGAGTGTAGTCCCAAAAGTCTGGAAAAGACTCATGGTCACTTTCTTGTGCACTTTTTTTGCTTTCTTTGCTTACAACATAATTTTTGCACTAACCCTGATTTTGTGGGGTGATACCATAGCAGATTCTACGGCTGGAGCAGTGGTTTTCGTGATCATATTAATCGTATATTTTATAGGGTTTGTGTACATGACTATAATATGGCAACTGGCAAGTGTTGTGACTGTTCTAGAAGATTCATATGGATTTAAGGCCATGATCAAGAGCAAGGCTTTGATCAAAGGGAAGATGTTTATTACGATAATCATCTTTTTAAAGCTAAATTTCACTCTTGCATTCATAAATTTTGTGTTTAAAGCCTATGTTGTTTATGGATGGAGAGTCAGGGTTCTGACGAAGATTGGATTTGGAGTTCTTTGTTTAGGGTTATTATTGAAGTTGATTTTGTTTGGATTGATTATACAGACTGTTATATATTTTGTGTGCAAGTCTTATCACCATGAGAATATAGACAAGTCTGCACTTTCTGATCATTTGGAGGTTTATATGGGAGAGTACGTTCCTCTGAAGGCGAAAGATGTTCAGCTGGAGGAATATCATGTGTAATTGTGAATTTCTAGTACTATTGAAAGCATTTTATGTGTGTAATATGTATTAAAGTTGGTCTGCAAAGACAAATGTAATAAAATTTTCTTTTTGGGTTCTCAGATATATCAGAGGATTGAGTTTCATGATATATGTCTTTTTGTAACTTGGGATATACTGGCTACATATGTAGACGATCAGTTCACAAATAACATATATATTATATATGAAAATCTTCTCCTTAATGGATATGTTAAGATACGAATACAATTTATTAGTCGCTCGAGTGATAACTATTGACCGAGGTTACAGTTTTGAGTAAAACTGCACTGATTTCACAAGAGTGAAAGCAGGGCAAAATTTATACTTCACAGATTTCATGTGTATGAAAGTAGGACAATACGGCTTCAGCTATATGAAAATAGAAGAAATCATTACAGCTGATAGCCAGCAATAGAAAACAGAGAGAAAACCAGAAAATGAGAGCAACAAGAAATCTTCCTTCTTTACAAGATTTCTCACACAATATTCATTACATGATTAGGGCATATTTTTGCTACTTATATAGTCCCGTTTGAGCCGCATTATTTCTCATTACATTAAATTAAAATTTTCTCTCTCTTACTTTTAATCACACAATTTTCAATAAAATAATATTACACGTAAATCAAAAAAATTTCAACCACTCATTTTTCAAAAAAATATTATTCATCTCATTATAATCTACAAATAATAGAGCTCAAACGGCCCCATAAACTTTAAAATACACTACAAATCACATTTTTATCCCTAAGTTGTTTGACAATTCCCTTTGATATTTCCCCTAAAAACACATTACATATTAGGGTCCGTTTGATTGCAAGAATGAATTTTGGATAGAAAGAAAACAAATTTCAGAAAATTGAATTGTCTAGAACTTGTTTAACTGAAAATTGTCAATTAAATGTGTTTGATTGATATAATTTTTCACCTATAAAATATTGAAATTTTGAATCTTTTGGTATTCATTTGGCTTTGTTTTCGATGAAAATTTTTAATTAAAGAGATATAATTTGTTATAATTGGGGAAAGAATTTGTTTCAATAGCTAATAATAATAAAAACCTGGAATACCAAAAATCACCAAACTCGTAGGAAAACCAATTCCTCAGAAAGGGGGGAAATGTGAAAAATAGGGTGCTGCCAACAAAACCAATTGTCAAGAAAATTTGACAAATCAAACAGACAAAAAAGTGAAAAATGGAATTTAACTTCCTACATTTATGAAAAATTTGTGCAATCAAATGGGGCCTTAACAATAACATGGTGGTAAAATATAAATTTATTGAGGGACAATGCGCGTGACTTTCCGCTAATGGAGGGGGAAAAAAATAAAAAAATTGAAACAAATTCAACCCAGATATCTGGCTGAGAACAAGCTTCAAAACTAAAATGTAAAGAAACAAAAATTGTTAAAAAGCCCAATAACAATCTTAAGCTTAGTAAAATCAAAAGCCTAACAACAACATTAAGCATAGTAAAATTGATAAGTACTTCTCGCAATAATTCGAAGTGTATGATTTTTTTATGGGAATTACCTTAAAGGTAGAGGTGGCAGCTCGGCTCGGCCCATGACTAAGCCCACAAGCTAGAGTTTTTTCCCCCCATTTTTGACAAGCCCATGAGCTGGGCTCATTAACTTTAGGCTCATGGGGCCATGCCCAGAGGAGCTCGGCTAGGGTTCGAGCTCGTGGACCGAGCTTTGACGAGGTATATGACCCTTTTGCTACCCCTACAGCTACTTAAAGCCACCGTTAGCCAAAAAATGGTTTAAAATGAAAATCAACAATGCAGATCCTAATTGTTTGGTTTAGACAACGTCTTTGGGCCTGAAAGTTTGTCAATTTTTGCGAGGAAGCTCAACTAGTTTGTCTGTTAACACTCATAACTTTTCTTGAGAATTGTGAAGTCCATTCTTTTGACAAAAGAATTCTAAAAACAAATTATAGCCCAGTAGAAAAGTCAAAGTGCATAAAGAATTTATTAACGTATAAAAAAAAATTCAAATAATAATTGATCATTTTTATGATTCTTCCATTACTTTCTGTCCAAGAAAATAGTACAACTTCATAAAATAATCCACGCAAGTTGCGTCAAAAAGGTACAAAATATAAGTTGTCAATTAATAAACATAATGGAATAAAAGCAATTAAAAATTTTAAGAATATATGAATATTCAAATGACAATGCAGCGTGTCTGCTCACGTTTCCAACCATTTCAATCCAGTTTCTTCCTTGTTCCTTACTGTAAATCTCGTAACTTCTTCTCTTAACATCTATAAATACCCTCTTTCATTGGAAAAAAAAGTTAAGAAATTTGCACCAAATTCAGATCTAGACTTTGTTTCTCAATCCATCTGTTAAGTTATGTCGATATCAAGATCTTTTATTGTGAATGGAACTTTAACCAGCCGTCATATGGGCTCCGATACTCTCTCCCCAAATTCTTCTTCAAATTTGGCTATGTTGAAATTCAAAGATCAGAGCCTTTTCTGGGCTCTTCAGAGCTTGCAATGTGTCAAAAAGAACACGGGAACGCAAAAGGATAATAATAATCAAAGGTAGCTAGTATAGTACATTTATTCATCAAGATGATTTTTTTTTATCTATTCTTATAAGTTTTTGGGCGTGTACTTCAACATGATATCAAGCAAAAATATGTTAAGAGGGTTTAGAGTTTATCAAGCCTCACAAATTGTTTTATTTCAGGAACTTTGTTGTGTACTGTGTTGATCCAGCAGTGCCTCCTCCTTGCGGGCCTCCTTTCAATTTATTGTAAGTTTAATTTCATAGCATAAAATTTTGAAGTTCACATCCTTTATAAATTAATCAATCTGATCATCTAGTGCTAAAATTTTTATTTTTTTTCTCCTCTGAATTTTATACAGAAACTGGATTCTGGGATTTACTGTTACAGTAGTTCTACCTTTCTTCAGCCGTAAATGGGGGTCACTACTGAAACTCAAAAGTAAGTATCAAGACATATTCTAAATCTTTATTTGCATTTTCTGTATAAGATTATAGTCAAAATATAATGAACAGAATTTTAAGTTTTTTTTTTTTAATGATCCTCCGTAACAAGTTTTTAATGTACTGAAACTCAAAAGTAAGTATCAAGACATATTCTAAATCTTTATTTGCATTTTCTGTATAAGATTATCGTCAAAATATAATGAACAGAATTTTAAGTTTTTTTTTTAATTCCCTCCCTAACAAGTTTTTAATGTGCAGACGAGGTTGAAACCACTGTGGAGACAATAGAACACGTTGCTGATGCAGTAGAAAAGGTGGCAGAGGAGGTGGAGAAAGTGGCGGAGGACATCGCGGATGATCTTCCCAAAGGTGGAAAACTGAGAAATATGGTGGATTTCGTTGAACATATGGCTGAAGAAATAGCCAAGGATGCTCATCAAGTTGAAGTGTTTATTGATAAGGTTTACCTGATACACTTGTTTTAATTATGCCTGCAATTAATTAGAATATTAAAAAAATGACTCTAAACTTATCGTCCATAATTAATTATTTAATTATAATATGTTGAATAAGTCATTTGCTTAATTTAATTAACAAAAATCTTTATACTAATCTCAATTACCTATGTATTCAAAAAGTCTAACCGTCCTCTAGAAGACTTTAAATTAGTCAAGGAAAATGAATGTTATTATAATTACATGCATGACTTCATTTTTTTAATTTTATTTTTGGTTGCTTATGAATTAAACCCAGAATTATTATATGTGCCTTTACAAAAAAAAAATTATAGTCATTGATATTTTACTTAATTAGTGTATTGCAGAGTTTTATTAATAAATTGTGATGACGGCACCATATGGTCCATTTTCTGTGTTTTTTGTGTCAAAAATCAATGAAAAATTGTCAAATATTTTTCTTTAAGATTTCTGTCATTTTTTTCTGTATTTGTAGCAAAATTGTTTGGGGTTTTATGTCAAAAGTTTAATTTATTTTGAAGAGCAACTCATTTTCTTACCATCTCCTATCTAGTCAACGTGGAACTTTTGTTCGCACTTTTGAAAGAAAAATAAAATAAAATTGTTGGATTTTAAGAAGAAACGAACACAAAAGTAATTAAGAATACTATTTGAAAATTTCTAATTATTGATATGTGAATTAATGCAGGTTCAAGAAACAGAAGAGAGGATGGAAACATTGGTTGAATCTCTTGTTGATGAAACCAAAGAGCCTCCCAAAGAAGGAAATGAAGAGAAATTGGCCAGTAAACCTTAGTGAAATTTTAGGATTATTTGAAAGAAAAAAAAATTCATAATTTCTCAGTAAATACAAATTTTTTTCATTTGTTGATTTAATTTGGAGAAATGTACTTTGAAGGGATTTCTTGTATTATTTATCAAGTTTATATTTCTTTTTTCACATGTGCCTAGTGTAAATATTATTGTTGCTACTGTAAAACAATATGTTGTAATATTTATTGTAATGCCTCGACCCGCAAGGATGGAAACGTCACTCAAACCATTGTACCTTAACCGTAAAGTTAGTTCAATTTATTTTTAGTAGAAAGTATAAAGTTTAAATTTTAGAATTTAATTAAAGAATTTTCTTTTCTTTTTTATTTTAACAATAATCCAATTCTAAAAGAAAACAATTTCAAAAATGTTTTTAGAATGGGTTCCATGCATGTAACGAAATTTTGGCAAAACTTAAAAAAGTAATGTTGTTGTTCCAGTTTTTTTCCTCAAATAGTAATTGTCAAAATAAATTTGTTTTCATAGCTATCGATCTTGAAACTTTATCAAATTTTAATTTAAGGTAGTAAATTCCTTATAATATGACATAGTCAAAAATTAGCTTCCATCGACATCATATGGGGTATTAAAATATTTTTCAAAACTCAGCAGCGACCCGGTTGAAAGGTAAATCGGTGCGGTTCACTTAAAATGGCATATAAAATTCCATCAATGTCAAAACCATATGATTTCAAATTTATTCAGTAGCTAATCCATGAGACTATCAAATCCAATTGGTTTCATCCAAAAATTTCAAATAACGAGTGAGTTATGAATTTTTGAAAATAAGGGTAGAAGCTGAAAAACAGAGACAGCACCCAATACCGTTTACTTTATGTGACATATAATCTTTTACCGATATTGGATTAACATGATTCCAATTTTATTCAGTATCTAACTTATTAAGCTATCCAATCCAATTGGTTTCGTATAAAAATACCAAATAACGAAAGAGTTATGATTTTTTTTAAAGATGAGACAGAAACTGAAATTTCTGAAGAGATATCAAAACTTTAAGTTGCTAACTTTTTTTTTGTATACGGTGATTTGTAAATTTATTCCTATGACCCATATCTACTTTCAAACATAATTTATTCATAACGAGTGTTCGTAAAATAGATTCACACAATATTCATAGGAATCAAATTTAAAGAAAGTATAAACATCTCAAAATCAACAAAAGATGTAAATCACCGCTTCTCCATGTCATGTTGCATCATCCTTTACCATCATTTACGCCCCAAAAAAAATCCATCCAACCGTCGTACGTACATGAATTTTCGGCAAAATCCAATTACTATAGCATTATCATAACACGTAGAGCCGGAGAATGATCATTCAAACTGTTGTAGTGCCGAAGCACCGTACCCGAAGGTACCATTTCATTTAAACATTTATCGAAAAATCATATTTGAGAACGAATGAACACTTGCACCTCTACCTACCTTGAATTTTCTTGGATAAAAGAACAAAATGTATAGAAAACATTCGTTCTTCTTACCCTCGTTATTCCTTAAATTTAACTTGATATGAAATATTTTTTTTTGAGAGAAAATAAGATGAAATTCGGATTTGAAGAGGAGTGTAATGAAAAAGTGACCTTCCACTTCTATAACATTTCTTTTTAATGAAAAATTAAGTGGGGAGGGGAGGGGAGGGGGGGGGAATTGTATTATCATTAAGTTTATTGAACTTAGCCTTTAACTAAAAATTTGAAGAGTCTCTAAGCCATAAAAATAATTCATATGAAAGTTTTATAAAAAATATCTACATGGTAATTCGAACTTGGGCTGCCTATATGAAATACTATGTAGATGACCATTGTGGCAACCCAGTTATTCATTAAATCTTTGTAATCAATTTTATTTAAACTTAATCTCTTAAATTACTGGGTTTTTAATTAACTTATGACTTGGGTTTTCGTAATTTTACATGGGTTGAGCTTCCATAGGTCGTTTCTAAAATGGGTTAGGCTCGTGACGCTAGATCATCACAAAATAATTGCATAATTCCATTTTATTTTTTTCTCGGCTACTACATTTATATTTGTATTCATTTCATTTGTGTCATCAAGAATAATTGCATTAATGGTTCTTTTATTTGTATTTTCTCGTCAAAGGTCCAACCTAGAGCTAAATATTTTGTTCTTACACAAATTCCCGTCAACGGAAGTGGTAAATATTTAGGATTTGTTTTTTCCAGGAAATTAGCGCAAACTATTCTTTTTCCACAAATGAAATTACGTGACTTCATGCGCTTAATTAACAGAAATATGAAAACAAACTTGTGTGATTTTTGTTGATTTAAATTAGTAAAACTTATGCCGTAATAACCATTAATTACTAGTCTGAGTTTTCCCACTATATGAAGCTATTCGACTTGAATCATGAGAGTTCAAGCGTGAGTTTGCAAAGTAATACATATAGTCAGGTATCTAGCACAAAATGTCCATACCTTTAAATATTATCGTACAAAACTTTCTACCTTTTATTTTTTTGACATTTTCGCCCTTGATATACCTTTGATTACGCAAAATGTCATTTCCGTCAATTTTCATCCAAAATTTTCATTTAAGTGAAGAGCATTTTCGTCTTAATTTTTCTTCCTTCTACTTTCCCATTTGAACCCATTTTTTCCTCTGTTTAAACCTTTGAATGAAAAAACAACCATTTCACTCGTGGATTCAAGTCACTTTATAATGATTAAAGATAAGAAAAAAAATGTTTGTAACTTAAATAATCATGACTTCATTTAGGGTTGTTGGCAACAAATGCAGAGCTCTAATGGCTGCGGCCAAGTCTGCTGTCGCCTCCACTGCTAAAGCTATCAAAACGACCACTGTTACCAAAATCAGTTTGCCCATGTGTCATTGAGGAGGTACTCAGATTACATCTTATTTGTATTGGAGGTCAAGCATCTCATTCTCTTCTCTTCTCTTTTTTTCCCGTTTACTTACCAGAGACTTTCCTTTACATTGGCATTCAAAGGCAGCATGATGGGAAACAATTACATTTCTAAGGTGCTCAACTAAAATAGGTTCTTCTAATACTAGTGAATATAATGACCGGAGATAAGAGAAATTAAAACCATAAAACTGATTTGAATCTGATGTGTGTATTTTACGCACTTTTTTGGATCTAAAAATATAGACATTTAATAGTTCTTTTATGAATTATAGCATAATTTATTGTATATTTCATTTAGGGTAATTGGCACAAAACGTCCATGCCTTTCAAGTGTATTGTGGAAAACATCCCTACCTTTCACAAGAAACATCCCTACCTTCCACTTTCTTGCGCTGAACGTCCTTTTCATCAATTTTTGACGATTTTACTCTCTATTCAAATAAAACAAAAAGAAAAGAGAAGGAAAAAAAAAAACTAATTGCAACCACATTCCCAAATTTTCTAAAAATTGCTAATAGTAACTTGATAATTACAATATTAAATAAATCGAAAAAAAATCAAAAAATTAAGAAAAAAATGGGTTGTCTTCTTCACGACACCCCACACTACCATACAAAATCTCTCTGCACAGCAAATCTTTCAAATCCGAAGCCCCATTACATCTTTCGAGGGTTTTTAATAACTTACTTTTTTGCTATTTATCTTCTATTATTTTTATTTTTTCAGTTTTGATGATTTCTGTGGGTAGTATAGATGGGGGAATTTGTCAGGTTTAGGGTTATAAATGGAAGAAAACGAACTTGAAGAAGGAGAGGCTGGCTGTTTTCAGAATGATGGTGACGATTCCACTATTGACCCTGATATTGCACTCTCTTACATTGTAAGTTCATTTTATTTTTTAATCTTTCTTTGTAATTCAGTTTTCTGAAGCTGCATGTAGTTTGATTTATTAATTATATCCTGTTCAGTTGTGTAGAGAGATGTAATGGGGCTTCGAATTTGAAGGATTTGCTGTGCAGAGAGATTTTGTATGGTGGGGTGGGGTGTGGTGAAGAAAATAACCCGTTTTTCTAATTTTTTATTTAATATGGTAATTATCAAGTTACCATTTGCAATTTTCAGAAATTTTGGGAATGTGGTTGCAATTAGTTTTTTGTTTTTTTTCTTTCTTTTCTTTTTCTTTTATTTGAATGGAGGGTAAAATCGTCAAAATTTGATGAAAATGATATTCAGCGCAAGAAAGTGGAATGTAGGGACGTTTTGTGCCAAAAAATTGAAAGGTAGAGATGTTTTTCACAATAAACTTGAAAGGTAGGGACGTTTTGTGCCAATTACCCATTTCATTTATTAGGTAAAACTTGATGACTGGAAGTGAAATTTAAAGAAAAAAGCAAAAAATGGCGAAGTACCAAGTTTGAGGACCAAATTGCAAATATCCAATGGTTAACTTGGATCACAATAGATACTTTTAATATTGATAGGAGTTAATTGGATGTAACTAGAAGTCAAAAAGGAATGGTATATGATCGGAATATCATCCTAAATCAATTTTCAATCACATAAGATATTTTCCAGATTTTAATAAAAAATTGAGGCCTATTTTTGGCATAGTATACGTTCGAATTGAAAATTTTCTAGTTCAAGAAAAATTGTAGCCTTTTGAGTAAGTTTTTTAAACGCACTGTGAATCTCTTCAATTGGATATGGAGAGAGAGAAAGTTATTATTAAAATACTGATTGTTGTGCAGATACAAAAACATGCGCATGCTAAGGTAACTTTCTTTATTCGATTTAAACTCTTTTGAAAAGCAATGTGATCGTGATTTTCAACCAAAATTCGACTCCTACAAATACCTAACAACGGAATATATTAAAAGACCTCTCATACACCTTTCATATACCTCATACACTCCAATACTTATCAATTATTATCATCAAAAGAGGAAAATTCAATCAAGTGAAGATTCATACTTGATTCTTGGTTAAAGAAGAGAAGGCACAAGTGGAAATTCGTCAAGAAATCATTGAAAAATTTCAAGATTTCAAGATTTATCTTCTTCTCAATTTATCGAAAATTCGGTTTATGTCTTTCTATATAAATTTGATTTCTTGTAATTTCATTACATTAGATTAGTTTTATAAATTGCTAGGATGAGATGAATATTTGTTATGATATTTTTAGTTTTTAATTAATTATTTTGACTTTAATTTGATTTTATTTGT